CAGGGAAAATGCACAACATGTATAATAGAATTAGCATCTCTATTTCCCAGTGAGTTCTGAGGGGAAAGACAAATGCCCCACTGGAGGCTGAGCTAGGCTACCCAGAGACTGTAAACAGACCGCCAACACTGGAAGTACACTTAACTCCATCACAGCTCAAGGAAATACAACATGTGTAACAGAGTTAGCATCTCTATTTCCCAGTGAGAAAGACAAATATCCCCACTGGAAACTGAGCAAGGCTGTACAAGGCAATTCACAGGGTGTAAACAGATAGGAAACACTGGAAATACACTCAACTCCATCACACCTCAAGGAAATAAAATTCAAACTCATAATAAGATAACCTCTTCACTAGTCCAAGGAGGTCTGGTGTTGCAGTAGTTAAAGCATTCAGCTGCAAATCAAAAGGCTGGCAGTTGGAACCCATCAGCAGCTCCCTGGGAGAAAGATGAGACAGTCAGCTTCTGCAAAGATTGACAGCCTTGGAAACCCCATGGAGCAATTCCACTGTCTTCTAGGGGTGCTCCGAGTCAGAATCATGGCAGTGGGATTGGTGGGTTCACTAGTCCAATGGCAAAAATTAAAGTAATTCTTAGCACCTGGTGCAGACGGGGGAGATTCAGTGCAGGTCAGACTGAAATCTACAGCTCTGAGGGAAAAGCCCACTAGCCACTCCTCAGATGGGAAGACTGGGCAATCTACTTCTGTGGTGATACAGCCTCGAAAACCCAAGGAGGGGTCACCATGAGTTGGATCCGACTCCACAGCACTGAGTTTGATTTTTTGGTTTGAGGGAAAAGCCTGCCAACATCAATGGAACCTTAGTCCAGTAAGGCCACCTTAGGCAGGGTACAGTCTGCCATTAACACAAAGCCTCCAGTCTAAAGGGTATTGCCAGGCCCTTTGCTCCACTAGTGCTGACAGACAAGGTGGGAAAGACCTGAGATGCCATCACCTGTGGAACGTTACAACAAGTGGCACAGACTAGGACATGCTCTATGGAGAGGAAGTTGGACGGTTGACTAGCACCACGCTGTGGAAAGAGCAAACTGAGTGTTTACGCATCATGTGTCTTCCTGCCTGCAGTGGCCTGCTAACGTTGCTCCTCCAGGGATGTGAGGAGGCTGTGCAGACGGAGCAA